CTTCTCAACTCCTATCTTTCTCCACTATATTCCCCTTCTGATTAGTCTGGCCTGTTGAGACTTATTGAAATCCCATATGAAATCTTTTTCAGAAGAAGACAGGATAAAATTAGATTAGTAGTCTTTCTTTGTCCCATCCTCATCTCTATTAGGGATTGGTTGGTGCTAAATATCAAGCCTTTCCATTCTTCGTCTCCAGTTCAAATGATCTCACTCCTCATGTGATGAGGTCACCTATTGGACTGTCATCACTCAAAACTGATTATGTCTAAGATCCTAAACACGATATCCCCGTGATTGTTTGAGGCTCACTATTCTAACAAAAAGCAAGAAATAACCCTTGTTTCTAAAACTGGTTACCAAGCAATAGGTGGAATTTTATTTCTCTTTTCCCTACTCATGTTCTCCTAGTCCTCAGCTAACTACTGAGATATTGAGGTTTCTTTTCCTGGTGTGATGACTCAAATTTTCATTCTAAGGCATCAGACTCATTAGTGTTACAGGATTGTCTGGGTTTCTATTACCTTTACTTCAAGGACATGCCCCTGTGGGTAGAAGGGAAGAAACTTGCCCAGGGCTCTATAGTCAGTAGATGGAGCCTGGCATTGACATTATGGTATCGTGGGAAAAGCAAAGGCTTTTTAAATCCTTGCCCTGTTACTTAAATGTGGGATATTGGAAAAGTTACTTAACCTCTCTCTAAGCCTAAGTTTCTTATCTTCAAAGTAAGAAATGAAGGTATCTACCTGAAAGGACTGTTGTGAGGATTAAACATAAGGTGCTTAGGTTATAGTTCCTGGCACAGTGTAGGATTTATGCTTTTCCCCTTTTCTAGCCATTTGGTACCAGGCTGGCTTCTTTAGTTCAAGGATTGCTGGCTTTTACTTTTCAGTCCTTCCTCTACTTCATAAACTAGGAAAGAGTGTGAACATTTTGTTATCTACTGCAGTTTAGAAAATCCCTACTAGCTTTTAAAAAATATTAATAGCCCTTAGTATCAGGATGGATCTGGCAGCCATGTGCAGAAGGAACTGCAGGCCTTAGATCCCCAGGAGGAAGCTAGCCTGTGTAGCTGCGAGATCTGGAGATGGAATTTTCCACCATGTGGTCATAGTTTTCTTATAGGTGTTACAAAACTGTTCACTGGCAAGGGCTCAGAACAAGGAGAACTAAGCAAAATTGAGTCTCCAGAAGAATACATTAGGTCCCCTGTAATGTGGAAGGTGAGCATCTATTGTCTTGTTGCCAAGTTCTAGCTCACACTGTAGCAGCTTCCTGTTCTGCTTTAAGTTTACATTAGGCCCAGCTGATAGGGATAGCCTTCTCATTTAATTTGTGCCTTTTAGTGTTTGTCCTGGCCCAAACATCACATCATCACTTCTTTTTTTAATCTTTGAAAAATGCATGGGAACACTAGGTGAATGCCAGTCGCTTTAGACCTGAGGGCAGCTCAGGCTTTCCTCTGTCCCTGAGGCTCTTGGACAGGCCCTATGTGGAGTCATATTTGAGTAATCAACATCTTGAAGTACCCTGCTTTCAAATGTGTGAGTAGGGAATAAAGCAGATGGGTTGGAAAAACTTTTTCAGGAAACCACCATTTTACGTGGGAAAAAAGAACAAAGAAATAGACTAAAATCTTAACAGTAGTTGTCTTTAGATGGAAAGATTAAGTAAAATATATTTTCATTCTGTGGTTTCCACATTTTCTAAAGTGAGCACATTTAGTATTGCTTTTATAATAGGAAAAAGAATTTTAAAATAGCCATTTTAAATTACTGATAAACAGTGAAGTCCAAATGAAAAGTATCCACAGTTTGTAGTGTGATTAATAAACACACAACAAGTAAATACCAATTAGGCCAATATTTTTAGAGTTAACTGGGTCAAAGTGCAACTGTAAAAAAAAAGAGTTGTATATGCTGGTTGAAATTTGTGATAAAAGATTCAAGCCACCTCATCTCCTTTTGAAATGTAACTGATAAAAAAAAAAAAACACAAAAAAAACAACTAAGCCCAGCCGGTGTGGTTCAGTTGGTTGAACGTCATCCTATGAACCAGGACTTCACAGTTTGATTCCTGGTCAGAGCACATGTCCGGGTTTCGTGCTCTGTGCCCAGTAGGGAGTGTACAGAAGGCAGCCAATGTTTCTCTCTCTCTCTCTCCCTCCCTCTCTCTGAAATCAATAAAAACATATTTGTAAAAAATCAGTTTTAAAAAAAGAAAAATTTCAGCTTCTGGGCATTCAGTAGCTTAATCAAGTTTATACGGTGCCTGGGGTCTGAGAAAAGAGCCATATTTTACAGGCTTGTGTTCTCTTAAGTGGCACAAATGTTTGGGATGCTCATGATTGGCATATGGGGTCCATAGTTTGAGGAGTGTTCCCAGTTAGCATCCTCTGGGTCCCTGAAAGGAATGACAAAAGTCATAGGTCTTGTGCACACTCAGTGGGGGAGGAGGGTTTTGTTAGGATGTGAATACCAGGAGGCAGAGATCATAGAGGCCACTCTGAGTCTGTCTGCCATAACTATCTAGTTTCCTGTGTCTTTACCCTGAACAGTGCGTGACACATTCTAACCTCTAATATTTGAATGAATGGATGTAATGGAACTATTATATTTCCAATTCCTGGTTTAAATTTTTTAATTGATTTTAGAGAGAGAAAAAGGAAGAGAGGGGAAAAAAACCACAACACAGCAATTGGTTGCTCTACTTATTTATGCGTTCATTGGTTGATTCTTGTATGTGCCCTGACCGGGGATCGAACCCACAACCTTGGCGTATCGGGACAATGCTCTGACCAACTGAGCTATCCAGCCAGGGCCCAACTCCTAGTTTAAGCCCTTTTCTTCACTTCCTTCTCTTCTGTTTCAGAGTTATTGATTTGTTTTTGAGAATCCTCTATTTTCATCTTCCTCATGGATGAACTTCAGGATGTTCAACTGACAGAGATCAAACCACTTCTAAATGATAAGGTAAAGACTATTGTGTTTTCACGAAAATGTAGAGACTACTCTTTTCACTAAACTCTCTCTTCTTCTGTGATTAGTTCATTTCTATATAGTAACTAACTCAAAACATATTTAGCTTGACTTTCTATGGAGAGAATACTTTTTAAAATATATTTTTTAACCAACCATCTTTTTGATACCTTTCCTCTTTTTTTTTTTCTTTCCTCCTACTTTATTTCCATGGGCCACGTTGAATTAAGTTATCCTTCAGATTTTCCTGTTTCACAGATAGAGATATTAAGGGGAAAAGTAATAAGGCAAAGTTAAGTAGGGGTTTGACTTAGAATACAAGTGTCTTGAGTTTCAGTTTCTATAAGGAAAACTTAATATCCATGGCTGGTGAGGTGCATAGGCTGCAGCACTCTCCCTGGTTTGTCAAGTGTGATGGGACCCTTCTGTCAGTGTGGAGGTTTTCATCAGGGATGCCTGGGTGTTGGTAGTATACCTCATTTTTATTTTAGTATTAGAGAAATATACAAAATAAAGAGTGATGTGATACAAGTTACCAAAAGGCTAAGAAAGAAAGGCTTGCTTATCTTCTATCCAGTCCCTATTCATTCAGTAAATGAGCCTGAAATTCTTTCTTTACAGTCCTCTCCTTTTGGTTTATTGTCATTGTCCCCTATTAAAATACTCTTGTAGCTTGGTGTGAATGACTGCATGACATTCTTTCCTGAGGGAAGTATTGATGAAGATTGAGGGTAAAATGGGTGAGGTTGGGATGAGGGGTACACCAAAAGATGCTGTTCCCTGTTACCCCTTTTTTTCCCCCGTTTAAGTAACTGCCCTTTATTTTGCCCAAAGGAAAGCCCTTCACCTACAACTTCTACGGCTGTTGACTTACTATGTGTTTTATTAATTTGCTGTTGAATCCTGTCAGCTCCATTTTCATCATCTCTCTATCGCCACTGTGCTCAACCCTTCCTTTATCTTTCACCAGATTTTTTGCTCTTTTCTTTGGCAAGCTGCACACTTTATTTAGCCCCCTTTGGTTTCTTCTGCTGCTTTCCCCTCATGTTTTAAAAAAACTCTCCTTTAAGTACTGTCTTTTGGTGCATGTGAAGGGCTGTCCCAAAAATGATGTGCCACAAAGAGAAGGAAGGAAATAAAACCTGCTTTTTTAAAGCTTATGTATAGCTTACAAGGCAGGTAGCCAGTTCATCTTCAGGAGGTTAGTAACCTATCATAAATCTGGCTGATCACCAGAATCAGCAGGGAATTGTTTCAAAATACAGATTCCTGGGTTCCACTAAATTGGAATCTGAGGGGAAAACAGGACACACACACATACACCTCTGTGATCAGTGGTCCTGCTTGTTGGAATTGCTTGGGGAGATTTGAAAATTACTAATGCCTTGGTCTTACCTCGAGAGATTCTGATTGAATTGTTCTGGGGTATGGTTGAGCTTTTTGGCC